CAAAAAAAAAAAAAAAAAAAAAGAAGGATGTTAAAATTCAGGGAGCCCTCCAAAATCCCCCAAAGTGTGTCGTACCCAAGGCTCAGTATAATAAAAGATAAGCGCTTTTTCCTTAAGGGCCTGGGGATCTAAACCTTTCCAAAGTTTGATGAGACATTGCAGGGGGGAGGGCAGCAGAATGGCTGAGGGCCTGACTCCCATGTAGCAGAGGAAGAGCAAGGAAACAAAGCAGACTATATTTTTTTAAATCAAGGTTCATCTCCCAAGTGGCCAACAGAGGTAAGTGCTTTGACAGTCGTCCCTGAACAAAGCACCCCCTGGCTGGCATCAGGCAGGACATCCCCTACCTCAGGCCTGGGATTCAGCTCTAGGAAGCCAGCTCCAGCCTGCTACATGGTTTAGTTTCATGGAAGCCTGTAATAGAGGAAATTTCCTCTACTCCTTGGAGGTCTGGGATAGTTTCTTTTATATCCCAAATAACATTAGTGCCATCATTCCTCAAAAACAGGTAATTCCCAAAAGGCTCTCTCCCTTATGAGGCCTAATAGGGCCATCCTACCTAAATCATGGAGGCTGTCGGGGGTTTACAGAGGGGAGAATTGGGATGCATGAGGTGAAGCAGGTCCTCAAATCATGCTTTGGATTGTCCAGCCTGTATATAATATTTTAAGAGGGGGCCGGTTTATAAAACCTCTAACACATGATACAAGTAAAAGGGTCCCCTACACTGTCCTCTCTAGGGCCAAAACAGGCTTTAATGTCCTTATACAGTATTTCTGGAGTATGGCAAAATAAGTGATAAATCAAAAGGAACAAATTTTTCTATCTAGACCAAGTGGGTGTGAAGAATCTAAACCATTTTTCCTACTGGTGGCAGGACAGCAGGGACAGTCAAACTGGGGAGAGCCCATTTGAGTAATGAGTTGTCTGGTTTCTAGGGAGAGATAGAGGTCAGAAATTGCATGGCAGAAATTGCATCTCAGAGCACACAGGCAGAGGGGTTGCCCAGACATGATGGGAGTCCTTCCTCCATTCACTTTTAGCCATGAATACTGACTCTAACTGGACCGGAAAGATCCCCTCTAAATGTAGGTGTCCCTGCACATAAGTGGATCTACCACTAAGTCATATGAGGGTAAAGTCCAAGTGTCCCCAATAGTCAGAAATTGCACTTGATCCTCCAGGAAACTGGGATTCCCTACCCCCATATGGGGCCCAGTTAGAACCCTTCCACTATGACAGAGGGGGAGGTCTTGGGAAAGTGAACCAACAGAGAGATGGAGTGTCCTTCTGCATTCACTGGGTATACTGACCATGTCTGGTGGTTTGGGATGATCGTCTTTCCATCCTGGATGAGCCCCCAATTTATTTTACTTCTGCTGGGCCTGACATCTGGGAATCACCAGACTTGCCCTCATTAGACCCACCTGTCTCTCCCATGCAGAAAGAGGAACAGGAGTCAGAGAAGACCAGCACAAAACAAAAGTACTTTTATTGTAGATACTGCAGGAAGAGGTATAGAGACACTTCCAGGGAAGGAGTGGGGGTGTTCAGAGCCAAAACACCACCAAATGTGGGGCAGCAGTCCTATTTTATGGAGTAGGAATCCTGTCTCCACCCCTTTAAGGGTCTACACTTGAGAAATTATTTCTGATTTGATTTTTTCTAGAGCCTCATTCATTTGTTTTGTTGTTACCACTTCAAAGAAACCAGGTGGGTGGTTTTTGGGTTGTCCCACCTTGGTGAACTGAATGTCTGGGGTTGCATCTGGTTTAAGTGTCTTCTCATTTTCTTTCTTTCTTTTTTTTTTTTTTTTGTTTAGTTTAATTCCTGGGCTGATGCTGGTAAATTGCCTATAGTGAATAGCTTCATTGCTAGTATTTAGAACCCTTAGGAAATGACTATGTCTCAGAGATGTCTTCCAGGTGTAGCTGATTTCTGGGTTTTGAGTCTGTTGCAAGATCCCTCCTCTTCAGTGTGTTGGGGATGAGAAACTGCTGCCTGCTTGGCCCAGCCCTTGGTTCTTTGGCACTGGCCCACAGTACTTTCTATGACCCTTAGGCAAACTCAGTCTTAGTATACCAGGAAGAACAGCTGGTTAGAACTATTGTGTCACTTTAAAGTGGCTAAAGTGGTACAACCAGCAATAATAATAGCATCAAACACAGCCTAGAAAATGACAAACTGAGGTGACCATTAATTTGGCACCTTTGACCATGTGAACTAGATTTGTGGAAATATAACAAAATCTAAAGCCAACTAGAAATTTGTATGCACTAAAAAAAGCCCTCAATATGCCAATTTTACCCTCAGGGTTGAAAATTTAAAAAGAGTTAGGGGAAAAAATAGAGAAATAGGAAAGGAGAAAGAGATTAGAAGTAAGGCTGGAAGAAAAAGGGTGGGTCATGTAAATTTTGGGAAACTGGTGCAGAGAGAAAGGCAGAGAGAAGGAAGAGATAAAAAAAGAACAGAACAGAACAACAACCACAAAAAAAAACAGAGACCGCCTTCACACTTATAAAAATAAGATCAACCTATGAAGAGAAAAATCAGAAGAAAAAAAACAGGAGCAAGAGTGAGAAAAAAAGAGAGAAATGTTCACTTTAAGGTTTGTCTCTGCTGTCACTGGTAGACAGTGTGTGGAGACAGACTCCAGAGCTATGTTGATTTAACCCACCAAACCAGCAGTAGCTTTATGGTAGGGTACTGGATAATCTCAATGAGTCCTCACCTTTATTTCTCCTGAACTTCAGGTGGGTTTCTGGCTGTGAGTCTGGAGCCAGATGCGTTCAGCCTGCAGCTGTTAGTGCACCTTCTGCAGGCTTGAGCTCAGCTGAAAGCTGCTCGCTGGAGCCAGCAGTTGCTCTGAGTTATGAGTTCACTTGGCCCCCTCCAAGATGGCTCCTGGCCAACTGCCCTTTCCCTTGGGATGGCCTAATCTGGTCCACTCACCAGCCAGTGCAGTTCACAGTGTCCACTCCTCCATTGCACTGCTGCATCTCTCTGTAGAGGGAGATGGGGTTGCTAGCAATCACCATGTCTCTGCAGGTTTGAGCCACTTTTCCCATGCAATGAGTGCCAATTCAGGGAGAAGGTCCCACCTGCTACCTCCTTCTTGGTTGAAGTTTCTCTCTTTGGTCTCCCTGGTGAGCTTCAACTGGTGCTTAAGATCCTTCCTGAGTCCTGGGGACACACTTCCCTCCTTCTCTTCCTCCTGTTGCTATATTCTAGTGTCTGGACAGCACATCTCAGAGAGGCTCTTTCTTTTCTGCTTACCACTCTACCATCTTCCTGGACGTTAGATCTAAACTCAATTGATTGGATATTGGTCTTGTTGCTAGGGGTTTGGTCTTGTAGGCTAATAGGAGAACAGAAGTAGGCATGGCAACCTGCACTGGAGGAACAGTGTTGCCTCACAGAGGCAGGTGTCAAAACTACAACCTGTCAGCTTCGAACCATAAAGCTGCTTGAAAACTCCTTGCTGTTTATAGCCATATAGTTTTCTAGCCTTTAAAAAGGGCCTAAGTCTGTCCCTACATGGTCATTACTGTCATCAGGACTGGGAGAGAAAGAAGGAAGGGAGAAAGGAAGGCCCCACAGGAAGGCCCACGGAGTTATGGAAGTGGGCCTAGCTCCTGTGTGATTGACTATAGACCTCTGTCCCCATCCTTTCTCCCTGCAGGTGAAGCAGAACTTAGTTAATGTATTAACATATTGCCCGGTACACTAGTTTCATTGAAGACCTGTGAGGTGACATCCTCAAGTGCAAGATCAACCAACAAGCTGAGCAGGACTCAGCCCTGGGCCAACTGGAGTGGGGTAATATCTGCCACATCCAAGGTGTATGAGTGGGGAACCACCCAATCTCTGCTGGAGGAGTTGGAGACAGGCGGGATCATGTACTACAGTACACATTGTGCTGTGCAAGATTTCACACAAGCTACCTGGTAGGGCGCCGGGATCACCACCTTTTTATTGTTGACACAAGGTGCTGTAAGGGCGAGGGAATCTGGATTCTATGGAGGACCTGGTAATACCTTTATGGTACAGTCTTGAGGCACCCTGCAGGGGTGGGATAGGAGGAGGTCTTTCTGGAGGAAATGTTTGGTAAGGAAGTGGGGGCAGTCGTTTAGGAAGAAAGATGGGGAAAGGCCACAGGTAGGCCTAGAATCCTTAGCCAGAATCCTTGCCCTTCCCTAGCCCCACAGTCAGCCAAAATGCAGCTGCAGGGTGAGCAGGCTGAAGGGAGGGCACTGCGTGACCAGCTCACCAGAGCTTTCCAGGAGCACAGGGATGTGTGCAGGTACCTGCTAGAGCTATAGAACCAGGCCAGTGAGATGGATATCAACACCTCCCTCCAACCGCTCACCATTGCTAAGCCCAAAACACTATCCCCCTCTTCCCTTCAGGTCCCAGGCCCAGGGCACAAGAGCTGAGAGCTATGTCTGCACCCTATATCCTGTCCCATGACCTCAGTCTTGTATCTCCCTAGGGTGGGGCAGCTGTGAGCCCAGGAAATCACACTGAACCTGCAAATGGTGGAAGGAGTAGAGGAAGAAGTCCAACACCAGGTGTGGGAAACACAGGATCCTCAGGCCCCTAGGCCCTCCCTTTGTGTGGGCCGGAGCCGCAGGTTACTTGGGGTCGAGATGAGGACTGGAATGCCTGTGCCTCTTGAGGAGAAAATGTTCTCCCCTCGCAAAACCTTGAGAACTTGCTTGGCTAG